TATGTGTCGATATTCAACTTTTTATTATTTTCTTTTGTTAGTAAAAGATCTGCAATGCACGAAGTTGCTAACAAAAAATGAAGTTAAAAAGTTAATTTTTCAAATGCAACTCAAATTTGTAGTTGGGTTAACTAACGGTAAACTTAAATTTGACTTTAAAATTGTAGAGGTAAATTGTAGGAGATTGTATCGACAGGGGCTCAGACAAATTCCTTACAATTTGAATGAAATATTTGCAATAAAAGTTTCGTTAATTTAATTACAAATTGTAGTAAATATAAAGAAAACATGTAGCAATTTTTATTCAATATTTATTTCCTGTAGGAGGGTGTAATCTTGTATATTAATGTTTGCTAATGTTGCCTAACCATAATACACTATACTGTATAATTCCTTCTTAATTGTTGTAGACAAATATGCTACAATTTTGTATATATTTTTTTAATTATTGTATAGAGATATGCTAGAATGAAAAGTAATTTTTAAGAGGAATTTGTACTACATATTCTTTAGCGTTGTAGTAGAGAGACAATTTTCACTACAACTTGTTTCTGTCCCTATATTTGCTACTATTTGTAATGAAAAGTCCTACAATTGTAGAAATTTGTTCTAGTTTTCTCTGAGTGCATTCTTCATGAATTTTTCAGACAGGTTTAAAATGAAAATTAATAAGACAGTTCAAGCATTTCAATGGGTGAAAAATGTTTTATTTAATAATCAATTCGTATGATGCTAAAACTTCTTCAAATTAGATTAGGTATATAGCTCAAAAATAAAGTGTTGATGAATACTAGAAGAAATACGAAGGTGTAGGTATTAAAAAAAATACAAATTGTGTTATTATTTCTTTATTGCCCTTGCTATAAAGACAACGACATTGACATCAACGGTCAGGCTAATTTACTCATTTTTTATTTTTTCCTATGTAATAATGTACGTGATGGTAATTGCTCTGAAAATACGACTTTTATCCTTACGATGAGGTCAGTAACATTGTTAGTAATTGTAATTTGTGTACTACAGTTAGACTGCACTTACACGCGTTTTTTCTTCCCCGAGCTACTCGAAAATAACTATGAAATTCAGAAATATTAAATAAAACTTACTGTAAGTGAAAAAATTGGCCTTTAAAAAAATGGAAGCTTTTATAATTCCAAAGGACTTTTCCACACATCGATAAATAACAGTAAGATTATTATTTTATACCCGACATAAAAATGTTCAGTCTCTCGGAGTCTCTCAAAGCGAGACTCAAGTCTCCGTCTCTCATTGAGTCTCTTTGGTGTCGCTGAGAGAGACTGTCGAGAGACTGTCAAAAAAACTGTTTAGCGTCTCTGAACGAGACTCGAGTTGCTCATAGAGAGATCCTCATTTCGTATCCAGTATCTGAACGAGAGACTCGAATCTCTGAACGAGAGACTCGAATCTCTCAATAAGTGATGTCTCCCTCGACATGGTTAAAGTTCAACATATTTCAGAGATCTCAGTCTTTCTACGAGAGACTTAAGTCTCGCAATTTTTCAGATTTATTCATTCAGTGTCTGTGTGAGAGACTCGAATCTCTGAATGAACAATTTTATCGTTCGAGTCTCTCATACAGAGACTATGAAAGATCCACGAAAAACACCTAGGCAATAACTGAGAGACTGTGAAAGACTGTGAGTGACTGGAGAGAGACTGAAAATTTTTATCTAGGGTATTGAACTATATTCTTAGAATAAATTGATTATTATACACCCTGTATTTTCCTACAAATAATAGGAATATTTTAATAGGGTTACCAACCTAATATTTTAAAAAGTTCGGAAATCGTTAGGATTAGTCTGGAGACATCAATTTAATAAATATATGAATCAACAAACAATAAAGCCTAAAAATAATCAAATAGTTCAGTCTATACTCTAGACAGAGAATTAGTATAGTAACTACATTGTGTGTGACATTCAATAAAAACATTACCAATAAAGAAACAATAAAATTTTATTTTTCATAAACATTGAAAAAACGGGAGATTATTTTTTATTAGTCGAGTCCCAAGAAAACTTAGTTTCTCCAGAGTTTCCGAGCTAAAACTGGAGAGTTAATAATCTTAATAATTTTTTTATTGTTGTTAGCCTACAATGAATTGCAGAAGTCAATCTTTTCCTTTTGGATGAATTTATATTTAAATCTACTAGAATGTTCTTGAACGACAAAAGAAATTTCGATTTATAAAATGTAATTTGGCTGCATACATAACAAATGGTCAAAGGCAACGCATTACCCAAAAGTTTTCCCAAAATTAATTACAGATTTTTAACGTATTTTGGAAATGTGGCGTTCAGAACACGTATTTTTTTATGAGCTTTATGTACTTATATTGCTTATTTGTTAACATACTTAAAAGGAATAAGTACATACATACAAAATTAAAATCTGAGTATTAAAACTGATTGAGTAAAGTACTAGGTACCTCAGGTACATATGTACGTGTGTCTGCTACCAACAAATAGACGGTTTACTTGCAGCATTTAGCCTTGTACTTTGAACAATCCTTATTTATAACCATAATTAAAATAACGATCTAAAACAGGCTTGACTTTCTTATTAACATATTCATACCTACTGTTTTAACTAGGTACCAATACAATGAAAAAGATAATTAAATGCTAAAAAATAAATTTAAATATTGATGTAACAATATATGCAGATATTATTGTTTTTCTAAGACATTGTTAATATTTTACAGCCATTTTTTATTGCAATATACGAAAAAAAAAACGTTACAGTTCCGTGAACATGCATTGTTTTCTTTTTATAGGATTTTTATATTTATTAAAACTTAGTCACTTTGAAAACCTGTATAATATGCAAGTAGGTAGTAGCTTTTAAAAATGATGATGATTAAAAATGTCTTTCTTACGCGTTTTATTCCAATCAGCTAAACCCTGCAAATAGATGAATAGATAGGAAATGTAACAGTCAAAGGGAGATATAAGGAAGATGTAATATTATAATCAGTGGGCAAAATTTTCCCGAACGACTCAACACAATCCCAGAAGAAGCTGGACCAGGAGCAATCGAATCTGTAACCTTCTTGGTTGCAAATACAAGTATATATAAGTTCCATTATCATCATCATTATTAGGTCATCAGTCCTAGGACTGGTTGGACACGTACCTCCACTCTTTCCTATCCTGAGCTAAACTTCGCATTTCCCTAAAACTAGAACAACCCACACCCTTAGCTATTTGCGAACAGTAATCTAATCTAGGTCTACCACTACCCCTCCTAACTCCTGTTTCTGCCTCTAATATGTCTCTGACTAGACCTTCATGCCTGACAAGGTGTCCTACCAACCTATCTCGCCTATTTTTTATTGACTTCCAATAAGTTCCATGTTATTCAATAAATTATTACTATCGAAATGAAATATTAAAACTGTTATCTACCCCTTCTAGCCATTAATCTAGATGTTATGAGTATAAAAAACTGGTCGGGTTTAAATGTCTATGTTCGACTGTATGATTGGTTGCATATACATACAGTACAATGATAGAATTTTAAACATGGGTTATAATATAATTGAAAATCCCACCAAAAGTAAAAAGGTAATATAAAGATAGGTGACGAAAAATTAGAAGAAACGGCCGATTTTCACTATCTTGGAAGTTAGATGACTCAAAAAGGAGCAGTAGAGAGATAAAACAGAAGTTAGCGCAGGATTGACTCATCTCTCAACAGGAAGAAGCCACTTCTA